ATCGCCTAGTGCGTTTGCTGCAGCTTGGAGTCGACTGCAGATTATAATAGGGTGGATGTCTGAAGAATAGATGGTAGTATCATCCGCGTATAGTGCGAGATGAGTACCTGTTAACGAAGGGATGTCACTTGTGTAAAGTGAGTATAGGGTCGAGGAGAGCACCGAGTCCTGGGGAACTCCTGCTCTGATTGGTCTGGAAGAGGAGAATGTACCCTCCACGCGAAAACGAAAGGATCTATTTGCAAGAAAATCTTGAACGATTTTGACAAGTCTTAAAGGCACCCCTGTATGGATAAGTTTGAAAACTAGTCCGTTGTGCCAGACTTTGTCACATCGAAGGCCTTGGCCACATCGAAGAACAGTGCTCCTGTGTAAACAGGGCGCCTGTTCGCCTTTGCGGCCTGATCTAAAATGTGCTCCATGAGGCGGTGCACCTGTTGAACACTAGAGTGTTTGGCTCGAAAGCCAAACTGCTCGTTAGGAATTAGATTTTTATTTAACACTGCATCCTTCAGACGGCTGAGGATGACGCGCTCATAGATTTTCCCCATGGCACTGAGGAGACTGATGGGCCTATAGCTAGATGCCCTATCTCTAGGTTTGTTCGGTTTGTGAATACCGATTACTTCTGCTTCTTTCCACACTTCTGGAAAGGTGCAGGTGGACAATAAGACATTGAAAATAGCCACTAGAAGGCAGATCAACTTTGGAGGAAGGGCTTTAAAGACTTTGTTATTAATACCGTCAGCACCTGGCTCTTTTCGAGGTTTGAGATTTTTGATGATGGTTTTAACCTCATCAAAAGTAACGGGAGGGAGTGGATCATCCGTTGGTGGTATGGCGGACAGATTAGCCGCTTCCTAGTCCACCTTGTTCAGGTGGACGGGGTCGATTGGCAGGGTGCTTGGAGAGCATTGGCTCTCAATGCTATCTGCCATGCACTCGGCCTTCTCTGAGTCATCGAACGCAAACTGAACATCAGATTTAACTAATGGGGGCATCCAAGCGATATTTTCTGATTTAAGAGCTCTCGCCAGCTTCCAGAAGGTTGTATGCGAGGGCAAGATATCTTCCATCAGATTGTCCCATCGTGACTCCCTCAGCTGGGCCATGCGCTCCTTGACCTCTCTACAGAGGCGGCGCAAATTGGACCTATTATTGACGGTTCTATAACGATCATAGGCCCTCACCGTAGCGTTTTTCTCCCTCAGTAATCGCCGTACATCCCCGGGGACCTCAAAGCGACGATCACTCGACGCCTCGAGCCGCCTCGAAGATTCCTCGGCAGCCACCTTTACATGAGAGGTGATATAAGAGATGGCTTCTAAGGCCACCTCTTTAGTGTCAATAGCGTCTGGCACTTGATCTAAATATTCAGTGTTCATAGTTTCGAGGTTAGCCTCGAACCTATGCCAGTCCGTAACAGTTTTGGTTGTAAGAATCTCGCTGCTGGACTGTCCGTCCTAGCGACATTAGGACCAGGCGGTAGTCTGATGTTAACTCGTGCACCACTTCTATGGAGCGTAACGTTAAGGATACGTTCCTGAGTAGTGCTAAGATTTTGAGTCATATTCGTTGAAAATCTAGTGTCCTCCGGAGGAGCTATTATATTGAATTCTAGGCTATCACTAAGAGCTAATAAGTCACTGCCTTTGACGTTGTTCTTAACGTTTCTATTATTAGTCCAGACTTGATGTTTACTATTTAAATCGCCTGCTAATATAACCGAATTACTGAGGTTAAATAGAGCTTCAAAATTGCTTTTTATTATCTTCTTATTGGGTGAAAGATATACAGAGGCTACCGTGATCGGTTGATGACCGGTCATGGCTACTCTGTAAACGGAGGCCTCTAGATCAGTTAATTGAGGAGTGTCTATGGGAATTACATGTAGGGACTACCTATAATAAATAAGGGTCCCTCCTAACCTATTCCCTATGCGATCGTTCCTTATTAGTCTATAATTGGCTATTTTTGGGTCTCTAAGGCTAGGCTTAGGAAAAGTCTCTTGCACTAGCAATATGTCAATCTGATGATCAGTGAGGAAGGTCCGGACTTCGTCAATTTGATCTTTAAGGCCGTGCGCATTGAAGAAGGCGACAGCTATCGACCTAGGTTTTATTCTGGCTGTTGTTGTATTATCCATTAAGAAAGAATAAAACAGAGCCAAGTTAACAGGTTTAAGGGCAAGGAAGTGTCCGCCGTGCTATCCCAATACGTTGACGGACTTCACATATCTTCGAATTCTTTTTACTTCCTCAGACATACAAGTTTCAACAACTAACGTCCTTTCCAATGCGTGCAAGGAAAAAGTACTAACACGCATGTCACGGGTTGACAACGGTCTCAGGATAATAGTACTTAAACATTATAACATGTCACAAGACCGTACGGAAAAGCGATGTATAGTATTAAAAGTTGGTACCATTGTTATGCCAAAAAGACTTATGTAAAACACATATGATTTAAATTTAAATGTTTTTTTTTTCTTAACGGACATAGACAGTACTTGTGCTAACAATAATTGTACACCCCCTCCGTTGCGCCCCCCCTCAGGGGGTCAATCCTCTTTCAATAAAGGGGTACCGGCTAAGGCAGATTCGGGACCAACAGGTCCTAAAAGCCCGCCACCGGTTATCATGCAGTACATGGCCAAGTGGGATCGTATATCCCGCATCATGGCCGAAAAGAAGATTGGCTACTCAAAAGCCAAGCCCTCCGGTCAGGGCATCATCGTCTCGGCCAATACGTTCGATGATTTCCGTGCTCTCAGGAGCCTCCTAAGAGGAAAGAACATCCCCTTTCACACATACTCCTTGGAGGAGGAAAAGCGTCTCCACGTTGTAATTCGCGGAATTCCCAAATAATTTGAAACAGCCTTCGTGAAGGAGGATCTGTTGAGGCAAGGCCTGCCGGTGTAAGAGGTGCACCGCATGGTCAACAAAACCACCAACACCCCGTACAACTGGTGTTGGTCATCCTTGACCTCTCAGAAGAGGGCAAGAAAATCTTCGACATACGCACAGTATGTCATCTCTCGGGGGTCATTATAGAACCCCCGCACAAGAAAAAGGTGCCTGGACAGTGCCATAGATGCCAACTCTATGGACACCTGGCCCGCAACTGCTTCGCCCGTCCCAGGTGCGTAAAGTGCACAGGGGACCGCGGCACAAAGGAGTGCACCCGTGGCGCTTCGTCCCCCCCGAGCTGTGTGTTATGCGGGGCGGTAGGGCACACTGCGAACCACCACCACGCGTGACCAGCAGCGGTACATTTATAGGCTGTAACTTGTAACTTTTAACTCTTAGTTATTATCCATAAAATGTTGTGTTTAAACATTTGCTATGTCCATAAACCTCAATAAGATATTTTCTTTGACGTCTTATTATTATTTGTGTATTTAAAAGCTGCAAGGAGTTTCATATGTGTCTTTAGGCAGACAATGCACCTGTAGCCTTCTTTGCTCGTTGTTCCTAATGCTAAAGAAGCTTTACCATCGGATAGTCTCTTAGCTAGACACTTTTTGTTTGTTATGCATAATCGGTTTCAGGATTACAATCCATTGTATAATATTTCGGTCTATTATTTAACATATAGGTAGGTAAGTATATTTGAATGGAATGAATTCTAAATTCTAAGAGAAACTTATGAACAAGAGTGTTCTTAAATGTATCGTTTATACGCATTTTAGTACAAGACTCCTCACAAAATTTACATATAACAAAGTATTCAAATTTTAAAGTTTTTAAGCGACGACCACTGTGAGGTAAATGGCATAACGGTTCTTATCACTTATTTGGTCGTGGCCCCTATTCAGGCGTTAAGCGTTATGAAAGAATTCGTAAGCACCAAATTTATATTTATTTTCATTAACCATTGCAGCCTATCACATCGACTCCGCAGCTGAGGTCTCATCAAAGTCTGTCTGTGATTGTCATAAAGCGTAGTTATACGTCATATAAACCCATCGACAGTCTACAAAGAATGATTAGGGCCACACTCTATCAAGTAAGGGTCGTGCTATTCTGCACCGACCTTTATACTGCAACTCAAATCTTTTTTTAACTATTATGCCAGTGCTTGAATACTATCCCACCTGATGGTAAGTGCTAATGCAGCCGAAGATGGATGGTAAAGCGCACTCACGTAGTATAACAAAAACCGATTCACATTTAGTCATTCACATTGCACATGTACAAATTACCAGACCGGAACAACTATTTGTAGGCCTTATAAATACTTGTTCAGTACGGGATTCGGAACCACGGTCCCGCAGCGCTGCAGCCAAACGCTGAGTCACTGTGCCATTGTTTGCTGATACAGAGGGGCTAGCATCGGCAGGAGACTATTTTATCCCCAGGGAAAGGAGAAAATGTTTATTCCTCGCTTAGTTTTATCCACCCTTCGAGCATGGGCACACCGGTAGATATAACATCCACGGTAGATAAAATGTGAGATAGACTTCGACTTAAATATATTTTTTGTATGATTATAAACTTAAACTCACGTCCAATCAACTAGGTTAAAATTGTCCCTTTCAAATGTGAATAAAACATAATTTTTTATCGTTCATTTGGCTCCATGCTACGGAAGGGGGGGGGGGTATAATATGTCTACTGGTTATGTCAAACGGGATACTACACTCTTCTCGTGTTAAGTCGCTACCTAGGGTTCGATTCCCGCAAACAAGTGTTGGTTATGGTCGACAATTAATAATTGCTTCTGATCTGAGTAATAGTAGATATTTTAGTTTTGGGGTGACCTTCCATAAAAAACGATAAGAAAGGCATAATGAGCTAGATTATAGGGGTAAAATCTCTATAATTACCTTCACAACTACGCTATCAAACACACCATACCCTAATAGAACTATGCACGTTATATAAAAACAAATTCTCATCATTAAACGTCTACATTTAGACAAAACCTATCGCATTAACTTCATTGTTATTGTTGGTTTCAAAATGGGTTTTTACTTTGTTTTGTCGTTATTAATCAACATGATTAGTTGTCCTTTTTGTTTAATGTTAAACGATCAAGACCTAGACTTTTCTGTGTTGTTAAGAAAATTGTATAATGTTTCCGATGCTGAAACGGAAATCGATCCGGCTGATTTACATCAATTAAGGTTAACTTTAATTGCTCCAGGTGAGTGCTTAATATTGTGATTTTATTGTGGTGTAAGCTTCAAGCGGAGTATAGGATATCTCCAACTTATTGGAGTAATAGACTAGTAAAACATATCTTCAAGAAGTCAATGGATGCAGGTGTTTGAAAGTGAAGAAAATCATAATTTTTATTCAAAATTAATTTTTTTTATCAATATAATCTCCTTCAACAGTGATACACTCAGTCCAGTGCCGCTCTAACATTTCTATGCCTTTTTTATAATACGATTTCTCCAACCCTTCAAAATACGCTTCAGTTTCGGCGATCACTTCTTCATTTGAAGAAAAATTTCTTTCCGGATAGCATTTTTTTTAGGTTAGTGAACAAAGAATAGTCCCTAGAGGCTACATCTAGCGAATACGGTCGGTGAGCAAGCAATTCAAACTTTAACTCTTTAAATTTCGCCATGGTGAAAACAGACTTGTGACATGGTGCATTGTCCTGTAGAAAAACAACTATTTTCTTTTGCATTTGAGGCCGTGTTTTCACGTTTTCCTCTTTCAAATGCACTAATAACGACATATAACATTCGCTATTGATCCTGTCGCCCTTCTGTAGATAGTCTAGAAATATTATACCATGCACTTCTCAAAACACGGATGCCATAATCTTTCCAGCTGAAATTTGAGTTTTAGGTAGTTTTGGACGGCTTTCATTGGTTGCTGTCCACTCACTTGACTGCCGTTTTGATTCTGGAGTATGGTGATGGATCCAAATTTCATCCATTGTGACATACCGTATGAAAAAATCCTTTTTGTTCCGCCTAAACAGCGCTCTGAGGCTTCAACACGTTGATGCTTTTGGTAAAGTGTGAGCAAACGCGGTACCCATTTGGAAAAAAAGCTTTCTCATAGACAAATGCTCGTGCAAAATGGTGAATGCACTACCTTTCGATATTTTTAGGTCGTCGGCTATCTCCTGCAGTTTCATTTTACGGTCTTCCAAAACTATTTTGTGAGCTCTTTTATGTTTTCTGAAATAACGGCCTCATTGGGGCGTCCAGAGCGTTCAGCATCATTTGTGTCTGTTTGTTCGCGCTTAAATTCAGCAAACCAACGTTTACCTTTTGCTTTTGATGGAGCAGAGTCCCTATAACACTTGTCAAGCCAACTTTTAGCTTCAACGGTATTTTTCTTCATTAAAAAACAATGTTTAATTAGCACTCGAAATTCTTTTTCATCCATTGTTTCAAAAACTTTCAAAGTGGCGCCAAAAACATTACCGTAACATTTAAACAAATAATTTAGAGGTTATGAAAATTATGCACAGATTATATAGAAGTCTGTTATTTTTAAAAATAAAAATAATGTTTCCCTAACAACGCAATCTATACGTCAGGCTCGGGACTTATTGACCGACGTAATATACTCCTACGGCGCCACGTAAGAAAGTCCACTGTCAGCCAGATATATATAATATACTAGCTGTTCTCCGCGTTTTTAATTTTTTTTTGCATGGAACTCGATTCTTTTTCTTTAGAAACTACTATTCTTTTAAGAATAGTAGCCTAAGTTACGTCTTATAACATCAGCTATCTACCAGTAAAAGTCCCATCAAAATCGGTCCAGCCATTTTGGATATTAGCCGGAATAAACAGACGGACAAAAAAAATTTAAATTGTGATTTTGTTATAAGCACTGTATAAACTTTATAAATACTATATATGCATATAGTAAAAAGCTGTTATTTTGACATTACAAACAGTCACTTCAATTTTATTTATTTGTAGAGTATAGATTACTATTGAAACGCTGACATTACTACATAGCTGTCTAGTTGGTCTAGTGGTTGTAAACGCGACAGCAATCATGAGGTTCCGGGTCGATCAAATAAATCTGTTATTGAGATTTTCCGTCAACAAATTCTCAGTAGCTGCCCGGAGTCAGGACTTTGGCGGTGTCTCACCACCGTGCCTCGGAAAGCACGCAGAGCCGTTGGTCCTGCGCCTGATCTCTCTCCGGTTGTGTGGGATTACCATATACATTACCATCGGACTGTGAGAGTGAGGGAATAGAGAGTATACCTGTGCTTGCGCGTATTCTTGGGCTCTATAATCCTGTCCTGCGTCGAGGGCTAGTCTCCATTGAGGCTGGTCGCCGTGACCGAAATTCGGTTTGGAGGACATTATTATTACTATTATAACGATATTATTGTAAGTAGTAATTTTATAAAGCGTTATTTTTCAAAGAGTAGCCAAATTTAAACATCAGTTCAAAGATATTTATATCTTAAAGAAAAAGAAGAAAATATAAAAGATATTTCATTTTTATTTTTAAATATCCGAATTCGGCATTTTCCAAACGTTTAAAAATTCATAACTTCGTTTTTGCATAGTAGACGGTTATTCGCAATGGATCTATTGCCAGTGCCTTGTCACCTTGCGCCCGCATCCCCCGCGGTTAATGACCACAGAGAACGTGGGCACCGCGGGTCGCGCGAATCCACTAATTATCGGGTGGTATAGCGATAGCCGCAAACAAACGAACGCGTCAGGGCTATAAATCGCGTCGTGAAATTTACTATTGTCTTATTATCATACCTACATTTCTTATATTCTACGCTTGTCGCTGTCTCGCTACAGCTGGGGACGCGGGTAAATAATGCTCCATGGAAACCTAGCATCAATAGTGCAGTGACGTAACTGCGGTGCTTTATGCCACGGGTTCCAAGCTCGTGTGGATACCATTAATTGTTGATGGATGGATTGTTTTTGTGCATTTCAAATATGTAAAGATTTTTTAATCAAAATAAAGTAATTTTGTTAAGTATCTACACTTATACTCCTAAGTCTTTTACTTATAACAAGTTTGAACTTAGTATATGTCGATAAAGTGTGATATAGAGATCTCGATGGAGACGAAATTCATTGAAGTGAGAAAATGGTTTAAATGAAATATTAAAATGTAATTGTGCTCAAATTTTCTTTTGCTGACGTCGATGAGTTCTGAAGGCTTCAGTCAGCGTAAGATAAAATTTGGCTAAGAGTAAGCTTGAAAAAACCCCATCGGATATACGGACGTAAAATACATGAAATTAAAATGAGTATTATAGTTAAAAGATTAAAAGGGCTCAAATGTTGATAATTCTGTGATAAAAGTCCTTCTGTTTGTGAAAAACCCTTACCGAAAAGAGATGTTCAAAGAGTAAATCGACAGATGATTCTCTCCTGTAACATTTTCCTATGCGGAGCCTGTGTTTTACTATATTATACTATTTTCACACTAAGGATGTTATTGGCGAATTTATTGTAATTGCTATGTAGAAAAAGAGGAAAAAGAAAAACAAACAAACAAAGAGAACATTGTAGATCTCAAATATACTTATATTTATTCATCTATGATTGTAGATATTTAACATTCATTTTGAACATCGATTATTTTTTATGATTACTATAGCGTTTACGTGGCCTCCTGAAATAATTAATGTAATCATGAATATTTAAAATTGTATCCGATTAGAATCGTTCTTCATAAAAAAACATACAAAGAAACAATAAAATGTTACAAGGATATTTATAAACCTTTGTATATAATGCCTAATAGGTACTATCATTTATACTATGCTAATAGCATTAATCAGCGGCCAATTGTTCCACATTATATCGTCTATTGTATTAATCTGTTAGCTGCCGTGTCAGTCACTTTGTACGGACTATTAATAATAATCGGTCGATTGTCTATCGATGCCATTAACCGACGTCAATCGATGTCGATCGATTGGTGTGGTAGCTTTAGTTGATCGACGGATACTGGTCGATAAAACATTGTTCAATTATCGATCGACATTGGTCGACAATTAATCTATGTAGTTGTGGGCTCATCGCCATTATCTTTCAAAATGGTGGAGCGGGGCAGGTTCTGCAATAATCAAGCAGCTCGATCGACGGCGACTAATCCATTCTACCATCGATCGATCGGTTTGGTAGAAACTATCTATACGTCGACTAATCCATTCCACCATCGATCGATCGGTTTGGTAGAAACTATCTATCGATTAACGTCGACTAATCCATTCTACCATCGATCGATCGGTTTGGTAGAAACGATCTATCGATCAACGTCGACTAATCCATTCTACCATCGATCGATCGGTTTGGTAGAAACTATCTATCGATCAACGTCGACTAATCCATTCTACCATCGATCGATCGGTTTGGTAGAAACTATCTATCGATCAACGTCGACTAATCCATTCTACCATCGATCGATCGGTTTGGTAGAAACTATCTATCGATCAACGTCGACTAATCCATTCTACCATTGATCGATCGGTTTGGTAGAAACTATCTATCGATCAACGTCGACTAATCCATTCTACCATCGATCGATCGGTTTGGTAGAAACTATCTATCGATCAACGTCGACTAATCCATCCTACCATCGATCGATCGGTTTGGTAGAAACTATCTATCGATCAACGTCGACTAATCCATTCCACCATCGAACGATGGTAACACCCTTAGACTTCCCGTGAGTCATCAGAGGATACTCGTGTTGGGAGATTCATTTCAGATATTTCTAGTTAAAATATTTTCAACCTCGTCATAAGTAACAGTATCCAACCAATGCGTTAAAGTTTTTTTTTCACATACGTAATTGTATAAGATATATTTTAAGTATTCTATTTTATTTATAATTATATAAAAAGCAGATTGACATTGATACAGTCTACTAGCAAAGATAGTACGTACAAGAGGTGTGGGGGCCATAACATAATTTCTTATCTTTTTTTGAAAGTAGTCATTAAACGGATTTATGATATTTTAGAATATGGTTAAGAACATAAAGCTTTCTAACAGAGAGAAGTTTACTAGCCTGATATAGGGGATTAGTAGAGAATCTGTAAACTTTCAAATACATGACCTTTATAAGAGATACCATGATTTTATACGTGGTAGAGCCATGCTGCAACATAATGCTGATGTGTTTCGGATGGTGAGTGTAGAGAACCAGAGACCCTTTTTACTGGAAAACAGGCATTCCATCTTAGTCCGCGCAGCTAACAACGCATCTGCATTTTGATTCACAAACGAGGATAGATGAAGATGTCTATGGGCAGCAACCACTTACAATCGGGTGGACTGTGTGCTCATTTGCAACTTATACGAGGCTGACAATAAAAGTTCTTAGAAAATCAAAAACTGAACAAACTAGCAAGTTATTAGTTTTATTATATCTTTTCAAAATAGTGTCCATTTACATCAATACATCGCTTTATCCGATGGAACCACTGACAAAAGCACTTTGCACACTCGTCCTTAGTGGTCTCTTGGACGGTATTTTGAAACGCAGCCACTGCTTTCTCGGCGTCCATAAAACGTTTTCCTCGAAGTTTTTCTTTTATTTTCTGAAATAAATAAAAATCGCAAGGAGCGAGGTCAGGGCTACAGGGCGCGTGACCCAGTAATTCTACGTTTGACGTCGCCAAGTAGTCGATTGTTTGCTCGGCGGAGTGCGTCGAGGCGTTGCCGTGGTGAAGGAAGATCCTACTGCAAGGTCGTTTTACTCAAACTTTTTGCACTGCAGTAACTGTTTTTCGATCCTCTAAAACAATTGTTGCGTAATGACCTGTCCTTCCGAAGAACGAGGCCACCATATTCTTTCCCACGCTTCGACCTCTCTTCTCTTTAGTTGGCAACTCCTCGGAAGGAAACACCCAGACAGCAGACTGTCTCTTAGTTTCAGGATCATAACAATAAATCCAGCTTTCGTCATCCGTAAGTATGTCAAACACAGCATTTGAGTCACCTCCATTAAATCTTTGAACCATTTCACGACACCACTACACAACTCTGTCAAATCATGAGGTATCCACCGGGCACAAAGCTTCCTGACCGCTAAATGTTCATGGAGGATTTTGTGCACTTGACTCATACCGATGCCTAAGATTGTCCGAATCTGCTGATAAGTCACTCTTTTGTCAGTTAGTTATTAGATTAGTTATTAGATTAGTGCGACCACGTTTAAACTCATTAAACCAGTTGTAAACAGTGGCACGAGACAGGCTTCACCGTGAAAGGCCAACCGAAATGTATCATAACTTTCTTGTTGACTTAAATGACATCGAAAGTCATAAAAAATCATTGTACGAAAATTTTCTCGCGTTAAATTCATGCTGAAGTGACTCAGACAATTTTCAATTTGCCGCCAAATCGTAAACAAATGACAAATTAATAAAATACATACACAATAATATTGGCAAAGAGTTCCATTTTCAAAATTTGAACTTTTTATATTATATCGTTTACAAGTGGCCAGTTCTAAAAACTTTCAGTGTCGTTCTCCTATAAAAAAAGATATTGCATACAAAAAATGACTGACGGTAATTCCACAATAAAAAATACCAATTTTTTTTAAATGCGGCGTTCAAGTTGCTTTAATGTCCTTTATGGTTTACAGCGAGAGTGCGCCAACTAACACAGCCTATTTGCATACCATACACACCGCGCTGTGCAGGTCCAATTGCCACGTAAAAATGGGCGCTCCTGGCAACCTAGTTTTTAAATTGAGTTAATTTATATGTATAAATTAGCTCAATTTAGAAACAAGGATGCCAGATATAGGAAATATTGTTTTATTAAAATAAATATTAAACCTTTACGAGATAGTCAAGCTTTCAAGCTTGTGATATCTACAGAACTATCCCTTTATTAATTTGTGTGAATGTATCTTTAAATTTAATACTTTGCATCATAATTAGAATGCAGTTACTCATAGAAACAAGTAAATTCCGACTAGACTTAGAGCATTTTTGCACTGTCATATACATAGTAGCCATTACCGCCCTACCATTACAGCCTTTCAAAAGACTATTGCTAAACACAGGCCTCTCCCATAGATTACCTCATATGGGAGATAATTGCCATTGTTATCATGCTTGGCATACGGGTTGGCAACTGAAATTTTCTGCCCTTTATTCAACTGTTTTCAGGAAGATCCTGCTGGACTCCATCTCCTGCTTCAGATTCCCTTTGTCGCATCTTACGACACTCACAAGATGATATGATAGTAAACAAATTCTTATTTATAATTTTCTTATAAAATAGAATCACTTTTTTTACGGATTTCGTTTCGACGTTTCGAACACTTTACAGCACCACGGTCACGGGGGAAACGGGGGGGGGGGGGATTAAATATGACGGTCCCCCCCGACTGTCATATTTAACCACGGCTACCTCCAGATTGAAATTATTAATTTATGTTCTGATCAATGCAGTAAGAAATTATAGTATCTGGAACTATATGGAATAGTGACCATGGGTGCCGTAAAGTGCTCGAAACGTCGACAATATAAAATAAGTTATACGCGATAAAATCTGTAAAAACTAGTTTTATTTAAATGTTAAGTGTTCGCATAAATATAAGAAGACATTATATAATTTTCTTTCTCTATTTTTTTGTATAGGTACGAAGTGGTGTGGGCCCGGAAATGATGCGAGCGATTATGACGACCTTGGAACGGAAGTAGAGACGGACAAATGCTGCAGACAACATGACTACTGTACAGATATTATTCCCGCTGGAGAGACCAAATACAACTTGACCAATGAATCTTTCTTTACTCGGTTAGTCTCGTGAAGGTTTTATGATGAAGTTCTATTTTTTTTTTTCAGAAAATAATACCAATTCGATTTCCTTTTAGAATTTTGTAACTTAAATTTTTTTTTAATATGTCTATTAAATTAACTAATAAAAAAAAAACGAAAGCGAACGGATAAAAATAAAATTGAAAAAATACAAAGGTATAAAATCAGTACTGAATTAAGTTAGATAGATCTAGATTTATCACTACCATCATTAACCAAGGCGTCTCTTGATTTTGACCACATTTTAGATATTTTCTTGTAGTGTCCAACAGAAAAAGATGAGATGATACCACATAGTATAAGAAAATATCATTAACAATATTGGATTTTAAATTGAATAAAACTAATTTTACTGAATTTATCACGTTTAATGTAAGTTATTTTTAACTTTTTTTTTTTATACTTGACGTTTCGGGTGTTTTACAGCCTCTATGGTCATACGGGTAAATGAGACGTTTGAATTTTGAAAATTGAATCTTCAACTTTTGAATATTAATTCTCTGACTACAATTAATATAATTATTTTTGAATATTAATTTCTACAAAGGCTCAATTAAAATTGGACAAAAAATAATATTCAAAGCGGTCCCAGCCATTACATAGAATTTGACAGACAATATATCCTCGCGAAAGAACATCGGTCACTATCAAGAATGACACATGAGACTATTGAAATTAAGAAACATCCTAATTTCCACAGAGAAGCCACCTGCTTAGGACCCTGTCATTAATAAAATTAAAATGAAACCCAAGAATATCACTGCAATACTTCAAACTACAGTAAACTTATTCTGCATAGATTGGACCAAAATAAATAAATGAAAAGCTGAAGGTATACCCTCAAAAAATGCGACAAGTAGTTTTAACAGTCCTCTCTTGATGTTAACGTAACACTACCCAAAGTATTCTGAAGAGACTGAAACAGGTGACAATCTGAGGGTGCGACTAGTCAGGACTATATGGTGGATGCATTAACACTTCCCAACCAAGCTCTCTTAATTTTTGCTGAGTGGCCAAAGATGTGTTTGGTCTGGCGTTATCATGGTGAAATACCACTCCTTTTCTGGTGATCAATTCCGGCCGTATTTCTCAATTTCTTGCTTGAGTCTCATTAATTGTTGGCAGAAAAGATCTGAATCGATGGTTTTTCTCGGCGGTAAAAGCTTGTCCTTTGACGTCATGCGTCTCAGTCTCTCCCCATAACCATTAAACATTGGATAAAACTAGTTTTATAGATTTTATGGCGTTTATTTTTATTTGCTTTTAATTACCGACGTTTCGGGTGCTTTGAATTTATGGGCACGGAAGTTTCCTTAGAAATAAGTTAAATTAAACTAAGTTGAACTACTAAGTTAAATGGCAGGAACAGGAAATAAATTAGTTTTATTCAACGTGTGTATACATTTGCATGAAGTATTCACGTAAATATATGAAATCATAATAGGCATATACATCCATTATATAAGCATTTACGACCAGTGACACCATCGTCTATCCAAAGCCATGAGATCTGTCATCTTAGACGTGGTAGAGCCATGCAGCTTTATTATGGTTGGAGCACGAATGCGTTGGCTCGACCGGGGAACGACCACGCTCTCACAGAATAACAGCGCAAAATTGCACCTTAATGCGGCTATGTATAGTATGGTGAGTGTAGAGAACCGGAGACTCTTTTTACTGGATATAGGGCATTCCATTTTAGTGCTCAGGCGTGACAACGCATTTGCACTTTGATTCGTAATTAAGGGTAAATGTAGATGTCTATGGGCCACAGCATTCACTTATCATCATGTGGACTTTGTGCTCAGTTATCACCCTTATTCTATAAAAAGAATATACTATTGCCTTTAACTCACGTGGTGAAGTTGAGTTATTTGTTTTTAGTACTATGTTTTAAGGATTTTAAAAGGAGTTATGTATGTTTTTTAGATTACATTGTTCATGCGACGATACCTTCAGGCAATGCCTTCAAAGCGCAAACACTTCAACGTCAAATAAAATTGGGATCATATATTTCAACGCTATTGGTACCAAATGTTATAAGAAATACTATCCCGTTACAGGATGCAAGACGCGAGGCGGGTGAGCATACTGTTTATTGTTTCCTTATCAGCCTATTTAAAAGTCCACTGCTCAACATAGGGGTGATTTCCTCATATGGGTGATATTTGCCATTGTTGCCATGCTTGGGAGGTGACTGTAGTTTTCTATTATTTGAGTCTAGATAATCAGGAAAACGCTTCCGCTTTCTCTTTGTCGCCTCTGACGGCACTCATGGGATAATATCGAGAAGTGGTTTCTATTATGCCGCCTCTATACGTTATATAACTGTTTAGTGAGTGTTTGTTTTTTGAACACTTTCTGTACATTTACAAACTGTCGTTGAAAATAAAAAATGAAGAATACTTTTATAAAGGCACTGCGTATCTCGTATATCTTGCAGCACACATATCGTTGGAAACTCCGTATCAATAATAAATATTTTTATACTTAGTAATATACTAAGCATTATTGAACGCATAGCTATTATTATTTTACCACGTGGTAGAGCCAAGCTGCAGCTATATTTATAGTATAGTTGTAGCATGACTGGGTTGATTCGACCGGGGAAGGATCACGCTCTCACAGAATACCAGCGTAAAATAGCAGCTTAATGCTGCTGTGTATCGTATGGTCAGTGTAGAAAACCGGAGACCCTTTTTACTGTAAAATAGGAATTTCATCTTAGTCTTCAAGGCTGATAATGCATCCGCATTTTAATTCGCAAGCGAGGAGTGATGTAGATGTCTATGGGCATCAGCAACCACTTACCATCAGGTGGACTGTGTGCTCGTTTGTCACCGTATTTCTATATTACGTACTTTGAGACATTTTATGGGAAAAACCTATGTTTGTATTGGACTCTAAATAGGTTGTAATGAAGAACGAACGAAAACAACTATATAGTTATAGTATGGTATCGAAACAAAAACTCGTTGTCCAGCTAGTGTCAACATTTGAAAAAACCATAGTGACTATATTTTCGGTGGTGGATGTGTGTGATTATCAGTGTATCTGACAGTTCACCCAATACTATTTCAGATCTTTGACATGTGCATTACAGCGAATTCGGGTAGTTGCGTACCTGTGAATCTTTATCAATACCTAGTGTATGATCAGGAATTTCCCGTTTTTTCTAATTTTTATGTTTTAGGAAACGCTTTATTTGACCTGATTAAAAAGGGAGGTTCTCAATTTGACTGTATGTTTTTTATGCGATATCTTCGTCTATAAATAGGTACTACTTCAGGTGTAGTCCCATATAAATTTGAAAAACAAACTTCAATACAGCTCGTATACAGCTTGCATGCTGCTTGGGCGTTAGGGTCAAGAGAACGCACTTTATATTCTATGGTCCTAACACGCTATAAAAAATGAGATATCGGAGCTAATAAGGTATAAAATTTGTATTTTTTATTATTTTATATATCTTCATTATTTTAGTTAATTTACATGCAAGATTAATTAGATTTTTTAATCTTGACCCATCATGCGGGTAAAATTATAGAAGCCTCAAGGCTTTAAAATTACGCGTGCGAGGTAAACGATGTGATAGGATACTAAAATAGAATAAATGTGGGTGATAGTCAACATTTATCAACCTTGAGATCATCAGTAACTTTAGTATTACTTAAAAAATAGCCTCTTTCTCAAAGCAGTTAACGATACAAACTTCTTATGCAGAACATCTTTTTTTTACTTATTATAAGCTAGTGCTTGACCACAATCCCACCTAGTGGGAACTGGTGATGCAGCCCTATATGGCAAATCGCACTGTCTTTGCATAACAAAAGCCTATTCACTCTTGCCTTGAAAACGCCCCGATCGTAATCGGACGGAAAGATAGATGCCGGCAAATTATTACAATCCTTTGCTGTACGCATTAGAAAAGAAGAAGTAAGCCGTTTGGTTCTAATGCGTGGAATATCGACAACAAAGAGGTGGAGACCTACCGACCGCCTTGTTGTCCGGTGGTTGAAAGAGAGGGAGGAATTAAACCATGTAATTCCTGAGCACAATCATCGAAATGCATTATATAGAATACCAAGAGACTGCGCCTGTGCTCCAGGCTGACAAGATTGGTTTCAACCAAATCGAGGTGACCAATGAGCCTCTTAGCACGTCTCTCTACTGAGTCCAATGATGCCAGGTGGCATTTTGCAGCACCAGCCCATATGTGACAGCAATACTCCATGCATGACCGGACTTGCGCTTTATATAAGGTTAGAAGCTGCCACTGCTTGAAGTACCGCAGCAACCTTGCAAGGACACCATGTTTCCTTACGGCTGCTTTGGCTCTGGACTCAATGAATCGCTCATAGTGGCAGTTCGGAGAAAATTCAACCCCTAACAACTGTAGGCGGTCAGTGTACTCGAAGGATACATTCCGGAAAGTAGGAACCAGGGTGAACGGGCTCCTTTTTGCGGTAAAAAGAAACGCTTGTGTTTTGGGGGCGTTGAATTTCACAATATTGGCATCTCCCCATTTGGAGACTGCCTGTAGAGTGAGATTCACACATTCAACCATAGCCTCTCTAGAAAGAGAGGCTGAGGCCCGAGCACTAGGTTGGTATCTTTCTACATCTGTGCTGTCGTCTGCATATCCGTAGATACCGGGAATGAGCAGGTCATTTATATACAACGTGAAGAGAGTTGCGGAGAGAACGGACCCCTGAGGAACTCCGGCGTTAGTCGCTACAGCATCGGATGAGCAGCCATCGACAACTACCCGGAGAGACGGTACGCTAGAAGGTCCCCAGTTGATCAGTTTCGGTGAAACCTGTACTGGCGGTCACTGAGGTGATCATTCTGCTCTAGGTATGCCATGGGGTGGGCGTTCAATAAACGCTCCATAATCTTGCAGAGTATGGAGGTAATTGAAATTGCCCGATAGTTGGCAAGGTCGGTACGGTTACATTTTTTAGGCACAGGCTGCACATTGGCCAGCTTCCAAGATTTGTGCACTATTCTAGTCCTGAATGAGAGCCGGAACAAGCGCGTCAACACAGGAGACAACTCAGGTGCACAGACCTTTAGAACTATATATATATTAATTAGAACTATTTATACGTGGTAGAGCCACGCTGCAGCTATATTAATAGTATAGTTGTAGCACGAATGGATCGGTACAACCGACTTCAATATAAATAATTTAAAATTAAAAATTTTGTACAGCCGTCTTCAGTATAAGTTATTAAGAATAATTCAAAAACTATTGATTCGACCTTGATCAAATTTATATGGGACCACACGAGAAGTACCAGCTTTCAAGCAAAAAAAGAATAATTGAAATCGGTTCACCCAGTAAAAAGTTATGAGGTAACACACATTAAAAAAAAACATACAGTCGAATTGAGTACCGTCTCCTTTTTGGAAATCGCCAGATAAAATGAGAACATTAACAATGTAGTCGAAGTCAATTAGATACGCATTATTAAGATAACTCAAAACTTTTGTTCAAATCTTGATCAAATTTGCATGAGGCCACATGAGAAGCACCAGGTTTAAAAAAAAATCATCAACATCGGTTCACCTAGAAATAAATTCTGATGTAACACACATAACATTAAAAATACAGTCGAATTGAGACCGCCTCCATTTTTTGAAGTTGGTTGATAATAGTAGTATAATATAGGTGTGAAACATCTGAATTTGCAATCTTAACTCTTCCCTACAACGGAAGAGGCCTCCTGTAGCAAAATAGAAGTATGGGTGCATCACACACCTGCGTTCCATCTCCACCGCGCCTCGATTCAAGAGTGTAGCTGCATTTGATTTTATGGAAAGTATAGAAGAAGTGCAGCTATTCTAAAGACAGTAAAAGTAAAGTTAAAATTTAATTTCTTTTGCAGGTGGTTTAACAGCAAATGTATTGAGTATATTTACGACGAAGACGGCGATATGTTATATCAATGGTTCGATGTACTTAACTATTAAATCGTTATTCTATACATGTTACATTATATTTGTTTTATTTGACAACATCCGTAACCGTTACAGTCTATCGAAAGCCATCTGCAGAACAAAGCCCCCCCCCCCCCACAATAGATTACCTAAATAAGGGGGGGGGGAGGATGTTTTCCATCGTATCCATGCTTGGCAAGCGTTTGTAACAAACTTATCATGCCCATCTCCTGGCTTGTTTCCTTCTGTCGCTTCTTACGATACCCACGGAACGATGTAGTAACATAGTGTCCACTATAATAATATATTATATTATTATAGTTGACACTATGTTACTACTCTTGCAAGGCTACTACACGGCACCATGGTATTTAACCACATAATATGTTTGTTACACAGTTAAAACATTTTGACATTTTGGTTTTTGCTTCGGTCGTTTCTATGACCAGTAAAATTTAATATAAATCTATAATATATCTGTATAGTAGTAATCACAATCATCGTCATCATCACCGTTTAAAAAGTACATTTTTTTCTTGTTTCTTGTTTTTTAAAAAACGTTACCTCCACACTAGGATTTTCTCCTGTATCGCGGGGGCAGTTTACATACCTACATAGATTTCACAAGGATAAACACACAGAACAATTACTTGTAGGCCATACACATACTTGTTCCGTGCGGGATTCGAACTCGCGGCCTTTAGCGCTGCAACTCATTGCTAAGCCACTGCGCCAGGGAGCCGTCATATGCGTACAACCATTGAACTAGTTATATTTCTTACGGGGTAGAGCTACGCCGCAGTAGCTGTAGCTCAGGCCCGTGACAGCTTAGTTCCATTCTACGCCACTTGGCGCTACCGTCGCAATTTGTTCTCTGCCTACGGACGCCATTTTGAGCATTTTGAGACGCCATATTGTGTTCATGTCAAATCATATTGTTAAAAGTCAAAGTTATCGATATTCATTGATTGCCGCCATTATTTATCCGAATTTTCCTCAGTTATTACAATATTCTGTTTTTGTAGCTTGCTACATATATATTTATCTATGCTGTAGCTGTAGCACAGAATAAATAATAACCTGTGGCACAATTATATCAACCTGGAGAGGGAAGGATTACGCTCTGGCAGAATACGAGCGCAATAGCAGCATAATTTTGCCGAGTTTTGAATGGTTGTTGAAAACTAGAGATCTTTTGTACTGACAACGCATAAACGTGTAATAAATCTACTATAAACTTGTTGTACCAAACTACAGGCTTTTTTGGTAGAAATATAACTATTTATAACAAGATTCTGTGATACTATTGACTTCCCTTGGTATAAATTCGAGGCGCATTTGAATAGCATTCTTTGAAGAAAGGATCCTCTATAAAAATTAATAGATAGGGAGTTGTCCATTATGTTAGAGCGGAACACAACAGTTCCAGCATAGCAGTGCTGGCGGTAGATGTAGGTAAGATAATGGTATGACGGCCTACTATAAGATGCATCTAATCATATTAGGTGGTAGAACTCTTTGGTGGATTCTCTCTGGTTCTATCCTTTAAAATGATTTATAAAACACTAGCGATCCGCCTCGGCTTCGTACGGCTGATTTCTGGATCTCGACAACAACGCCACCTACAAGGTCTAATTGTGAATCTAAAGGTATCATTCCGTAACAGACCACAGGCAGCAACAGCGGGCGACGTGTCGTATGTAATTCTATGAAATACCTTCCGTAGCTAAGCGACAGGTCGTTTGCCGCTACAGGCCGAGTGGCAGACGAAATGTCACCCGACTGCAGATCAGTAGTGCCGCCAACGCCCGAGCGACACGTTGAATTTTTCTCAATTAATGAGATTCACCATTTCCGTGGCAGAGAAACTGATAAACCAGGTGGCCCAATATCCCGCACTGTACGATGCATCTCACGAAAAAAATGTTAGAATACATAAACAACTACTTGCATCTATACTCGATTAAGAATCCAAATACGGATGCATTGTCAAGGATCTGACTTGAAAACCGAGATCTACTTAAAGTTAAAGTCAAAATATGTATTATTCAAAATTGTTTTTTATAAAGCATTTTTGAAAGTCAAAAACTACGCCATCGCTTCAACTTAAGAAGAACTTCGAAGCAAGAAACAATGTTATCTACCATATAAAATATATACGTTATAAAAATAGATTTAAAGAAGCTCACTATATCCATGCACACTTAGAAGGCGTCCATTACTTACGTGAGGTGTTTAGGTAGGAGGTGGGGGGGTAAGGGAGTCGAGCCGAGTCTCACACAATCTCACTCACAAATATCACTCAATTTTTTTTCCGCTAGAAACAGTGTATATAAAAATAATTCAGTATGTTTTTTTAAATAAACGCCAGTATTTACACTAAACATAATGGACAACTCCGTATCTATTAATTTTATGACATGTCATTATACTCGTAACATGTCGGCTATGGAATTGTACCTTAAATCATTCTCTAATCAACTTAATGACAGACAAAATTTCATAAAATCGGTGCAGCCATTTTTTTATAGAATAAGGGTGACAAACGAGCACGCAGTCCACCTGATGGTTAGTGGTTGCTGTGGCCCATAGTCATCTACATCTATCTTCGTTTGCGAATCAAAATGCAGATGCGTTTTCACCCATGAGGACTAAGATGGAATGCCTCTTTTCCAGTAAAATAGGTTTCCGGTTCTCTACACTCATCATACGAAACACAGCAGCATTAAGCTGCTATTTTACGCTGGTATTCTGTGAGAGCGTGGTCCTTCCCCGGTCGAGCCGACCCATTCGTGCTACAGCTATACTATTAATATAGCTGCAGCATGGCTCTACCACGTGGTTTAGGAGGAGTTCAGTCACATACAAAGGGACAAAAGAATTATATAATATATAATATGCATGTTATATAGATATAAACTTTTATCTTGAATTTTTATGTCTATTGGTGAAAATTTTATTAAAATTAGTTGCATAGTTTAAAAGATCTAAGCGTACAGACGACGCAAAGCGACTTTGTTTTATACTATGTAGAGATTTCCTTTAGTTAATCACTCCCATGTACACTTTCACTGTCCTATTTTCGGACACAATAGTAAGACAATAGCAATGAACTATACGTATTACACAGGACAGTAAAAGGGTAAATTGCTTTTGGAAGGGGTAATATACGGCTGTAGTCGAATGGCGGATTCGAACTCCCCCTTAATACTAATTGTGCTGCCAGCTACAGTCGCTTGACTTTATAATACCCGCGATTAATGTGGCAGGTTTTGGATTTTCTATAATACCTTAATTCTTGAAATGCTCACACATATTATAAATGGTGTCATCATTCATCATCATTACAGCCCTTCACAAGTCCACTGCTGAACATAGGCCTCCCCCAAAGAATGCCACAAAGCACGGTCCTGAGCCACCTGCATCCATCGACTTCCTGCATGTCTTACCAGGTCGTCACTCCATCTCGTGGGGGGACGCCCTACACTTCGCCTACCGGTACGAGGTTGCCACTCGAGAACCTTTCTTCCCCATCGGTTGTCGGTTCTTCGAGCTATATGGCCGGCCCACTGCCACTTCAGCTTACTAATTCGTTGGGCTATGTCGGTTATTCTGGTTCTACTGCGGATATCCTCATTCCTAAGTTTATCACGCAGAGAAACTCCGAGCATAGCCCTCTCCATAGCTCGCTGAGCGACCTTGAGCTTCCTCATACGGCCAGCAGTGAAGGACCACGTCTCAGTTCCGTAAGTCATCACTGGCAACACGCACTGGTTGTACAATTTCGTTTTAAGGTTTTGAGGTATGTCTGACGAGAAGATGTGTCGTAGCTTCCCGAACGCTGCCCAGCCGAGTTGAATCCGTCGATTGACCTCTCGGTCGAAGTTGGACTTACCTAGTCGGACTATTTGTCCCAGGTAAACATACTCGTCAACAACTTCGAGCTTAGTGCTCCCAACAACTACCGGCATAGGTGTGACATGGACAATAAATGGATAAATGGTGTAAGTTACGATTAAAATAAGGAAATAAACAACAAACAAGCAAAAAATAAAGAAGCGGTATTTGTATCATTTATTTTTCCCAACATACTTCATTGGTACATTGTTAAAGATTTCATTCATTAAAGATAGTGTTTGTATTCGTTAAGTACAAGTAATATACAACTTTCATATCATGCACACACGATGCGGGATAAATATACATTATTATTTTTAATATTATTCCGTATAAATAACCATACACGTAATTACATGTGATAAAAGATATGGATACAGTTTTATAACAATGTATAAACAAGTGAACAACTTTGAATGGTGTTTAAGATAACACTAGAACAAGTATTTGTTTTATTAATGTTAGAAAAGACATTAGTCGATGCAGGTTATATAATATTTAGATATGTAGCAGAACGCGAAATGAATGAAGCGACCCCGGTCGCATTCACAATATTTACAAACCAATTCCCCATACGCATACACATCCTTAAATAACCGATTAAACAGCGAGCTAAGGACTTTATGACATTATTTATGAACTTTCGCAACTAGTAACCTCAAGCTAATGCAGGATATTATATCTGAAAAGATTTAAATTACGACGGGGAGGCTACCCCTTGGATATGAAGCGATAAAGAGGACTTAATAGAGAATCCCTTGTAAGAAGTGAGCATTTTGATATAGTCTACAGTCCAAGCAACCTTATCGATCAATATTTACAATAACAACATTAGAATTACAAAATTATTGAGAATGGATATTGTGATAGAAAATTTATCAACGTATACATTAGGTTGTTTGCAAGAGAAGAAGAGTGAACTCAAAAGCTGTAGTTTGAACAGGAGAAATAATACAGGCAATATTGGTCTCCATCTAGAATCGAACGTAAGAGTGCTACACTATTCATACCCGCCTTCCTATTCACTATTTGTTTTCACTCATTTAGCAGATATATGATTTTAATTTTCTTCTAAAAATTTTATCTTAATATGATAAATAGGTTTATAAAAATATCATTTGCTGTCGAGAAGTGTT